CCAGGTACGCGATCTCGGCCCGAAGAAGGTGAAGGTGGGGACGAGGGCGGAGCACTTATCCTCAACCGATATGGGGTCCTAGGTGAGTGCCCTACCGCAGCGTGCATCAGTGCCAGGTGCTTGAAGCCAGAAGAAGGCGAGCTTCAAGAGGAGGCGACAACAAGCTCGAAGGACTTACTCTCAGAATACGTTCTCGGCGCGTGGTCTCAACCTGAAGAAGACAGAGGCGGCGACAAGGCCGGAGCGCCTATCCTCAACTGTCATGGGTTCCCAGGTTCGTGGTCTGGAGAGAACAGAAGCCGAGACCAGGCCGGAGTGCCTATCCTCAATCAATATGGGGTCCCAGGTGCGCGGTCTCAACTTGAAGAGGATGGAGGCGGGAACCAGGCCGGAGCACTTCTCCTCAACCAAGATCGGGTCCGAGGTGCGTGGTCTCAACTCGAACAGGACGGAGGCGAGGAGAGGCCGGAGTGCCTATCCTCAACCAAGATAGGGTCCCAGGTGCATGGTTTCATCTTGGAGCAAAGAGAAAGGACGAGGCCTCAACCAATATGAGGTCCGAGGTGCGTGACCCCAGCAAAAAGACGACGGAGGCAAGGACAAGGCCGGGGTTCGAAGTGCGTGGCCCCAGGAAGCTCAAGCTGAAGAAGACAGAGGTAAGAACGAGGCCGGGAGGGCTTATCCTCAACCAATATAAGTTTCCGAGGCAAGGACAAGGCCGGGAGGGCCCATCCTCAACCAACATGAGGTTCCGAGGTGTGGAAGTTCAAGCCGAAGAAGACACAGGTAGGGACAAGGCCGGGGGGGGGCTCATCCTCAACCAGTATGGGTTTCCGAGGCGTGGAAGCTCAAGCTGAAGAAGGGCAAGGACAAGGCCGGGAGGGTGTATCATCAACCAATATGGGTTTCCAAGACGTGGGGTCTCAAGCTGCAGAAGCGCAACGACAAGGCCGGGAGGGTTTATCCTCAACTAGTACGGGTTTCCGAGGCGTGGAAGCTCACAAGTCGAAGAAGACAGAGGCAACGACAAGGCCGGAAGAGCTTATCCTCAACCGATGTGGGTTTCCGGGGTGTGGAAGCTCCAGCCGAAGAAGACAGAGGCAGGGACAAGGCGGGAAGGCTTATCCTCAACCGGTATGGGGTTCCGAGGTGTGGAAGCTCAAGCCGAAGAAGACAGAGGCAAGGACAATCCAAGGTATGGAAGCTTGAGCCTCAACCAATGTGGTTGCCGAGGTGTGTGGTCTCAGCGACAAGGCCGAGAGAACAATCCTCAACTAAAATGGGGTGTGGGGTCTTCGTACGGGTTTCCGAGGCGTGGAAGCTCACAAATCGAAGAAGACAGAGGCAAGGATAAGGCCGGGAGGGTTTATACTCAACCGATGTGGGTTTCCGGGGTATGGAAGCTCCAGCCGAAGAAGACAGAGGCAGAGACAAGGCGGGAAGGCTTATCCTCAACCGGTATGGGGTTCCGAGGTGTGGAAGCTCAAGCCGAAGAAGACAGAGGCAAGGACAATCCAAGGTATGGAAGCTTGAGCCTCAACCAATGTGGTTGCCGAGGTGTGTGGTCTCAGCGACAAGGCCGAGAGAACAATCCTCAACTAAAATGGGGTGTGGGGTCTTCCCCCGCCCCCCCTCCCCCTGAGCGCCCTCCCCCCTCCTCCTGGGGCGGGAGGGTAGTGGGCAGACACCAAAAAACAATCCTCAACTGAAATGGGGTGTTGGTTCCCACCCCTCCCCGGCCCCCTCCCCCACCCTCCCCCCCTTCCCTCCCCCTCCCCACCCGGTGCCTCCTCCGGGGGGTGGCACGAGTCTCACGGGGGTAGTGGGCAGACACCAAAAAACAATCCTCAACTAAAATGGGGTGTTGGTTCCCACCCCTCCCCGGCCCCCTCCCCCACCCTCCCCCCTTCCCTCCTCCTCCCCACCCGGTGCCTCCTCCGGGGGGGTGGCACGAGTCTCACAGGGGGTAGTGGGCAGACACCAAAAAACAATCCTCAACTAAAATGGGGTGTGGGTTCCCCTTCCCCCGCACCCCTCCCCCCCCTCCCTCCCCCCCCCCACCCGGTGCCCCCTCCGGAGGGTTCCCCCCCTCCCTCCCCCCCTTCCCTCCCCCGCTCCCTTCCCTCCCCCTCGCTCTGCCCCTCCCACCCCTCCCAAACCCGCTCACTTAGACCGCAACCAGCGTGGAGTGCCAGGTGCGTATCCTCAAGAAGAAAAAGGCCGGGAGCGGGAACGAAGCCGTGCAGGCTCGCCTGCATGGTGTCCCAGGTACGTGGTCCCAACCCCAAGAAGACCGAAGTGAGGAGGTGAGCGCTGATTATCCTCAACCAATGTGGGGTCCCAGGTGCGTGGTCTCAGTCGAAGAAGGCGGAGGCAGGGACGAGGCCGGAGCACTTATCCTCACCCAATATGGGGTCCCAGGTGCGTGGTCTCAGCCCGAAGAAGGCGACGAGGCCGGAGCGCTTTTCCTCAACCAATATGTTCCAGGCGCGTGCTCGGAGGCGGGAGCGCTTATCCTCAACCAATATGGGGTCCCAGGTGCGTGCTCTCGCGGACCAGGCCGGCGCAATATGGGGTTCCAGGCGCGTGGTCTCAGCCCGAAGAAGGCGGAGGCGGGGACGAGGCGGAGCTGGGGTCCCAGGTGCGTGCTCGGCAGGGACGAGGCCGGAGCGCTTATCCTCAACCAATAAGGGGTCCCAGGTGCGAAAGCGGAGGCGGGGACGAGGCCGGAGCGCTTATCCTCGACCAACGTGGAGTCCCAGGTACGCGATCTCGGCCCGAAGAAGGTGAAGGTGGGGACGAGGGCGGAGCACTTATCCTCAACCGATATGGGCTCCTAGGTGCGTGCCCTACCGCAGCGTGCATCAGTGCCAGGTGCTTGAAGCCAGAAGAAGGCGAGCTTCAAGAGGAGGCGACAACAAGCTCGAAGGACTTACTCTCAGAATACGTTCTCGGCGCGTGGTCTCAACCTGAAGAAGACAGAGGCGGCGACAAGGCCGGATCGCCTATCCTCAACTGTCATGGGTTCCCAGGTTCGTGGTCTGGAGAGAACAGAAGCCGAGACCAGGCCGGAGTGCCTATCCTCAATCAATATGGGGTCCCAGGTGCGCGGTCTCAACTTGAAGAGGATGGAGGCGGGAACCAGGCCGGAGCACTTCTCCTCAACCAATATCGGGTCCGAGGTGCGTGGTCTCAACTCGAACAGGACGGAGGCGAGGAGAGGCCGGAGTGCCTATCCTCAACCAAGATAGGGTCCCAGGTGCATGGTTTCATCTTGGAGAAAAGAGAAAGGACGAGGCCTCAACCAATATGAGGTCCGAGGTGCGTGACCCCAGCAAAAAGACGACGGAGGCAAGGACAAGGCCGGGGTTCGAAGTGCGTGGCCCCAGGAAGCTCAAGCTGAAGAAGACAGAGGTAAGAACGAGGCCGGGAGGGCTTATCCTCAACCAATATAAGTTTCCGAGGCAAGGACAAGGCCGGGAGGGCCCATCCTCAACCAACATGGGGTTCCGAGGTGTGGAAGTTCAAGCTGAAGAAGACACAGGTAGGGACAAGGCCGGGGGGGGGCTCATCCTCAACCAGTATGGGTTTCCGAGGCGTGGAAGCTCAAGCTGAAGAAGGGCAAGGACAAGGCCGGGAGGGTGTATCATCAACCAATATGGGTTTCCAAGACGTGGGGTCTCAAGCTGCAGAAGCGCAACGACAAGGCCGGGAGGGTTTATCCTCAACTAGTACGGGTTTCCGAGGCGTGGAAGCTCACAAGTCGAAGAAGACAGAGGCAAGGATAAGGCCGGGAGGGTTTATACTCAACCGATGTGGGTTTCCGGGGTATGGAAGCTCCAGCCGAAGAAGACAGAGGCAGAGACAAGGCGGGAAGGCTTATCCTCAACCGGTATGGGGTTCCGAGGTGTGGAAGCTCAAGCCGAAGAAGACAGAGGCAAGGACAATCCAAGGTATGGAAGCTTGAGCCTCAACCAATGTGGTTGCCGAGGTGTGTGGTCTCAGCGACAAGGCCGAGAGAACAATCCTCAACTAAAATGGGGTGTGGGGTCTTCCCCCCGCCCCCCCTCCCCCTGAGCGCCCTCCCCCCTCCTCCTGGGGCGGGAGGGTAGTGGGCAGACACCAAAAAACAATCCTCAACTGAAATGGGGTGTTGGTTCCCACCCCTCCCCGGCCCCCTCCCCCACCCTCCCCCCTTCCCTCCCCCTCCCCACCCGGTGCCTCCTCCGGGGGGGTGGCACGAGTCTCACGGGGGGTAGTGGGCAGACACCAAAAAACAATCCTCAACTAACAACCCGCTCACTTAGACCGCAACCAGCGTGGAGTGCCAGGTGCGTATCCTCAAGAAGAAGAAGGCCGGGAGCGGGAACGAAGCCGTGCAGGCTCGCCTGCATGGTGTCCCAACCCCAAGAGACCGAAGTGAGGAGGTGAACGCTGATTATCCTCAACCAATGTGGGGTTCCAGGTGCGTGGTCTCAGTCGAAGAAGGCGGAGGCAGGGACGAGGCCGGAGCACTCATCCTCAACCAACATGGGGTCCCAGGTGCGTGGTCTCAGCCCGAAGAAGGCGACGAGACCGGAGCGCTTATCCTCAACCAATATGTTCCAGGCGCGCGCTCGGAGGCGGGAGCGCTTATCCTCAACCAATATGGGGTCCCAGGTGCGTGCTCTCGCGGACCAGGCCGGCGCAATATGGGGTTCCAGGCGCGTGGTCTCAGCCCGAAGAAGGCGGAGGCGGGGACGAGGCCGGAGCTGGGGTCCCAGGTGCGTGCTCGGCAGGGACGAGGCCGGAGCGCTTATCCTCAACCAATATGGGGTCCCAGGTGCGAAAGCGGAGGCGGGGACGAGGCCGGAGCGCTTATCCTCGACCAACGTGGAGTCCCAGGTACGCGATCTCGGCCCGAAGAAGGTGAAGGTGGGGACGAGGGCGGAGCACTTATCCTCAACCGATATGGGGTCCTAGGTGCGCGCCCTACCGCAGCGTGCATCAGTGCCAGGTGCTTGAAGCCAGAAGAAGGCGAGCTTCAAGAGGAGGCGACAACAGGCTCGAAGGACTTACTCTCAGAATACGTTCTCGGCGCGTGGTCTCAACCTGAAGAAGACGGAGGCGGCGACAAGGCCGGATCGCCTATCCTCAACTGTCATGGGTTCCCAGGTTCGTGGTCTGGAGAGAACAGAAGCCGAGACCAGGCCGGAGTGCCTATCCTCAAGCAATATGGGGTCCCAGGTGCGCGGTCTCAACTTGAAGAGGATGGAGGCGGGAACCAGGCCGGAGCACTTGTCCTCAACCAATATCGGGTCCGAGGTGCGTGGTCTCAACTCGAACAGGACGGAGGCGAGGAGAGGCCGGAGTACCTATGCAAGGACAAGGCTGGGAGGGCCCATCCTCAACCAACATGGGGTTCCGAGGTGCGGAAGTTCAAGCTGAAGAAGACACAGGTAGGGACACGGCCGGGGGGGGGGGCTCATCCTCAACCAGTATGGGTTTCCGAGGCGTGAAAGCTCAAGCTGAAGAAGACAGGGGCAGGGACAAGGCCGGGAGGGCTCATCCTCAACCAATATGGGGTTCCGAGGTGTGGAAGTTCAAGCTGAAGAAGACAGAGGCAGGGACAAGGCCGGGGGTGAGCCATCCTCAACCAATATGGGTTTCCGAGGCGTGGAAGCTCAAGCTGAAGAAGGGCAAGGACAAGGCCGGGAGGGTTTATCATCAACCAATATGGGTTTCCAAGACGTGGCGTCTCAAGCTGCAGAAGCGCAACGACAAGGCCGGGAGGGATTATCCTCAACCAGTATGGGTTTCCGAGGTGTGGAAGCTCACAAGTCGAAGAAGACAGAGGCAAGGCCGGGAGGGCTTATCCTCAAACCAATGGGTTTCCGAGGCGTGGAAGCTCAAGCTGAAGAAGAATATCCTCAACCAATATGGGTTTCCGAGGCGTGGAAGCTCAAGCTGAAGGAGACGGAGGCAAGGACAAGGCCGGGAGAGCTTCTCCTCAACCAATATGGGTTTCCGAGGCGTAGAAGCTCAAGCTGAAGAAGACAGAGGCAAGGACAAGGCCGGGAGGACTTATCCTCAACCAATATGGGTTTCCGAGGCGTGGAAGCTCAAGCTGAAGAAGGGCAAGAACAAGGCCGGGAGGGTTTATCCCCAACCAATATGGGTTTCCCTCAAGCTGCAGAAGGGCAACGACAAGGCCGGGAGAGTGTATCCTCAACCAATATGGGTTTCCGAGGCGTAGAAGGCTCAAGCTGAAGAAAAGAAGAATATCCTCAACCAATATGGGTTTCCGAGGCGTGGAAGCTCAAGCTGAAGTAGACGGAGGCAAGGACAAGGCCGGGAGAGCTTCTCCTCAACCAATATGGGTTTCCGAGGCGTAGAAGCTCAAGCTGAAGAAGACAGAGGCAAGGACAAGGCCGGGAGGACTTATCCTCAACCAATATGGGTTTCCGAGGCGTGGAAGCTCAAGCTGAAGAAGGGCAAGAACAAGGCCGGGAGGGTTTATCCCCAACCAATATGGGTTTCCCTCAAGCTGCAGAAGGGCAACGACAAGGCCGGGAGAGTGTATCCTCAACCAATATGGAGGAGGAGGCCGGGAGGGCTTATCCTCAGCCAATATGGGTTTCCGAGGCGTGGACGCTCAAGCGGAAGAAGACAGAGGCAAGGAGGAGGCCGGGAGGGCTTATCCTCAACCAATATGGGTTTCCGAGGCGTGGACGCTTAAGCGGAGGAAGACAGAGGCAAGGAGGAGGCCGGGAGGGCTTATCCTCAGCCAATATGGGTTTCCGAGGCGTGGACGCTCAAGCGGAAGAAGACAGAGGCAAGGAGGAGGCCGGGAGGGCTTATCCTCAACCAATATGGGTTTCCGAGGCGTGGACGCTCAAGCGGAGGAAGACAGAGGCAAGGAGGAGGCCGGGAGGGCTTATCCTCAGCCAATATGGGTTTCCGAGGCGTGGACGCTCAAGCCGAAGAAGACGGGGGCAAGGACGAGGCCGGGAGGGCTTATCCTCAACCAATATGGGTTTCCGAGGCGTGGAAGCTCAAGCGGAAGAAGACGGAGGCAAGGACGAGGCCGGGAGGGCTTATCCTCAACCAATATGGGTTTCCGAGGTGTGGAAGCTCAAGCCGAAGAAGACGGTGTGGAAGCTCAAGCTAAACAAGACAGAGGCAAGGACACGGCCGGGAGGGCTTATCCTCAATACGGAGTCCCATTCAGGCGAACACTGAAGGAGACGGAGTCGCCGAAGGCGAGCCATGGAGTATCCGCGCTCGCAAGCGGGACAATTGCAAAAGGATATCAGAGAAAGAGACCATCACTGAGCATGTAGTGCAGCCAGACGCATGCAGGAGTACCTGCTCCCAGCAGCTTATGAACGCAGCTCTTGTTCATTGAGCAATTCCTAGCCAGCGGTCCCCCTCGGAGAAGCTATGGCGACAGGGACAATCTGTTTCGAGAGATCGGAAGGTATACTGCGGTGCTGCGCCCGCACCTGAGGATGTGTCGCGGGAAACTACTTCTCATTTACTCGGCTTTGTTTTTACGCCAGGAGTGCAAGGAATATGCCCGATACTTGGGCATCGACCCCGGATACGAGGGAGAAGAGACACACAACGCGATGTTGTGCCCGAGCCTCGGACGCTCTACGAGGGAGGAGTCCTGATATGCCGTTTACCTTTATCGAGGCCCTCCCTGTGCACGCCGACTCGGGTTGTGTCCGTCGGGGCCTTAAGAAGCGCTCGTGATGTCTCTGCTGAACACGATGGCGCTGCAGGCCCCGCCGCCGTGACAGAGCCGGGAAACCGGAGCGCGAAGCTCCGAGCCCGTTGGACAGCATCAAGAGCCAACTGGGCGTCAGGGGCCGAGCAACGCACACCAAGCCAGCATCTGCCGACGGGGGTTGACGCTAGTTGCGCTAGGCCTGTGCCACCGTCGAAGAGAAAAGAAATCTTCTCAGGAAGAATGGGTGGGCAGGCCAGCAAGCAAGAGCGAGAGAACAGAACCTGCACACTGACGTGCAACCAGGATACAGTTGGCAAAGGGTGCCGCACGGCGCGTGGATACCCTGGTGGTATCTTTCGGACAGCATTTGTTTCTGGGAAGAGGATGTCTTCCAGGCCGGACCAGCACAACGAAGAAGAACATGCGGGCACGTCCCTGCCACAGAACAGCCCAGGAGGCCACGGCAGCCGTCTGAGCGCCAGGTCCGGCGATAAGAACCTCTTCCCTTGAGAGTCCAAAAGGTGCACGGGAAGCACTTGCATCACGCGCATGCACTCTTGGGGTATGCCCGATGACTACGAGCGACTCCTATCCGACGCAGCTGTTATTCAGCATTCAGTAGACACAACGGGGAGATATAGCATGGTCTCAACCCGAGGAAGGCAGGGGCGGGGTCGAGGCCAGGGCGTTTATCCTCAACCAATATGGGGTTCCAGGCACGTGGGCTCAACCCGAGATGAAGACGGAGGCGGGGACGAGGCCGGAGCGCTTATCTTCAACCCACGTATACTCAACCAATATGGGGCTTCAGGTGCATGGTCTCAACCTGAGAAGAACACGGAGGCGGGGATCAGGCCAGAGATATCCTCAACCAATATGGGTTTCCGAAGTCTGGGATCTCAGGCCGGAGGCGGGGACGTATCCTCAACCAAGATGGGGTTTCAGGTGCATGGTTTTAAGCTGAGAAGACGGCAGAGGCGGGGACGAGGCCGGAGCGCTTGTCCTCAACCAATATGGGGTTTCAGGGAAAGCGAAGGCGGGGACAAGGCCGGAGCGCTTATCCTCAACCAAGGTGGGGTCCCAACCCGAAGAAAGCAGAGGCGGGGACGAGGCCAGAGCGGTTACCCTCAACCAATATGGGGTTCCAGGTGTGATGTGACGTCTCGCAGCCAGAAGAAACTGGAGGCGAGGACGAGGCCGGAGCGCTTACCCTCAACCAATATGGGGTTCCAGGTGTGACGTCTCGCAGCCCGAAGAAACTGGAGGCGGGGACGAGGCCGGAGCGCTTACCCTCAACCAATATGGGGTTCCAAGTGTGACATCTCACAGCCCGAAGAAAGTGGAGTCGGGAACTACGGGGTCCCAATCCGGAGAAGGCGAAGGCGGGGAAGAGGCCGGAACGCTTATCCTCAACCGATCCAGCACGCTTTTCCTCAACGTCCCAGGTGCGTGGTCTCAACCTGAAGAAAGCGGAGGGGACGAGGCCGGAGGGCTTATCCTCAACCAATATGGGGTCCCAACCCGAAGAAGGCGAAGGCGGGGACGAGGCCGGAGCGCTTATCCTCAACAAAAAAAGGGTCCGAGGTGCGTGATCTCAGCCCGAAGAAGACGGCGGCGGGGAGACCGCAGCACTTCTCCTCAACCAACATGGGGTCCCAGGTGTGAAGTCTCATCCCGGAGAAGGAGGAAGCGGGGACGAGGCCAAAGCGATTATCCTCAACAAATCTGGGGTCCGAGGTGCGTGATCTCAGCCCGAAGAAGACGGAGGCGGGGAGACCGACGGAGGCAAGGACGAAGCCGGGAAAGCTTATCCTCAGCCAATATAGGTTTGGAGGGGCTTATCCTCAACCAATATGGGTTTCCGAGGTGTGGAAGCTCGCCGAAGAAGTCACAGGCAAGGACGAGGCCGGGAGTGTGGAAGCTCAAGCGGAAGAAGACACGGGAGTGTGGAAGCTCAAGCGGAAGAAGACAGAGGCAAGGACGAGGCCGGGAGGGCTTATCCTCAACCAATATGGAATTCCCGAGGTGTGGAAGCTCAAGATGAAGAAGACAGAGGCAAGGACGAGGCCGGGAGGGCTTATCCTCAACCATTATGGGTTTCCGAGGCGCGGAAGACAGAGGCAAGGACGAGGCCGGGAGGGCTTATCCTCAACCAATATGGGGTTCCGAGGTGTGGAGGGGCTTATCCTCAACCAATATGGGGCTTCCGAGGTGTGGAAGCACAAGCTGAAGAAGACAGAGGCAAGGACGAGGCCGGGAGGGCTTATCCTCAACCAATATGGGGTTCCGAGGTGTGGAAGGGCTTATCCTCAACCAATATGGGGCTTCCGAGGTGTGGAAGCACAAGCTGAAGAAGACAGAGGTAAGGACGAGGCCGGGAGGGCTTATCCTCAACCAATATGGGGTTCCGAGGTGCGGAAGCTCAAACTGAAGAAGTGCGTAGTCCCAGGTGCGCGGTCTCAACCCGAAGGAAACGAGACTCGGGCCAAGGCCAGAGGGTTTATCCCCAACCAATCGCAGTCTCAGGGGCCTGGTTGTGCAAAGAGCTATGTGTGTCGACACGCGAAGCTGTTGCCCAAGAGAATTTGCCCAAGAGCGACAAGGCTCGCCGAGACCTGGGCAGTGTCCAACAGGACCCCGCCATGTTGTCAGAGCAGTCTTCAGGGCGATACATCGTCAGCGACGACGTGGAGCTGCCAGAGGATCGCGTCCAGTACAGCGACGTGAACCTACTTCGACAAGCCCTCCTCGACGCCCGTGAGTTCCTTCGCTCAGGCTATACGGAAATCCACTTCCGAGTCTGGAGGCGCGACGAACCGATGAAGCTTCTCTGCGCACGGAGTGCCAAGCAGCATGAGGGCACGATGGAACTCTACCTCACCTACGAGGACGGCGGCGAGGAAGAGGGCCTGCTGCATCCGGCAGGAACCGGTTGCACCGGACCGTTGTTCGCGTTTGCCAGCAGACGTCAAGACGGCATTCCAGCTCCTCGACGACGGCTGGGACGTGCTCATACAATCTTCTTCTTCAAGAACGATCTGGTGGAGTGGACGGCGGCTCGCGGCGAGAGAGAACGTTTTAGTGTCACCAGAGTAGTTTTAGACTGCGCAATGCGCTGAACGGCTCGAGTTTCACTCACCTAGGCGAGGCAAAAAGGTGCAAGGAGGGCCTGGTGCATCACATGCGGCCGCGCTCCTCCATCATGTCGCAGTCGGGCATACAGGTGCTCAGTCTCAGCGGGAACAACGTTGGAGGCGGCACGTTTATCCTCAACCACTGTGGGATTCGAGATCAGCAGTCCAGAAGCCGAAGAAGGCGAAGGCAGGGACGAGGCCGGAGCGCTTATCCTCAACCAAGATGGGGTTTCAGGTGCTTGGTCTGAAGCTGAGAAGACGGCGGAGGCCGGAGCGCTTATCATCAACCAAGATGGGGTGTCAGGTGCGTGGTTTGAAGCTGAGAAGACGGCGGAGGCGGGGACGAGGCCGGAGCGCTTATCATCAACCAAGATGAGGTCTCAGGTGCGTGGTCTCAAGCCGAAGAAGGCGAAGGCGGGGACGAGGCCGGAGCGCTTATCCTCAACCAAGATGGGGTGTCAGGTGCATGGTCTGAAGCTGAGAAGACGGCGGAGGCGGGGACGAGGCCGGAGCACTTGTCCTCAACCAAGATGGGGTCTCAGGTGCGTGGTCTCAAGCCGAAGACGGCGGAGGCCGGGACGAGGCCGGAGCGCTTATCCTCAACCAAGATGGGGTGTCAGGTGCATGGTCTGAAGCTGAGAAGACGGCGGAGGCGGGGACGAGGCCGGAGCGCTTATCCTCAACCAAGATGGGGTGTCAGGTGCTTGGTCTGAAGCCGAGAAGACGGCGGAGGTAGGGACGAGGCCGGAGCGCTTATCCTCAACCAAGATGGGGTGTCAGGTGCTTGGTCTGAAGCTGAGAAGACGGCGGAGGAAGGGACGAGGCCGGAGCGCTTATCCTCAACCAAGATGGGGTTTCAGGTGCTTGGTCTGAAGCTGAGAAGACGGCGGAGGCGGGGACGAGGCCGGAGCACTTATCCTCAACCAATATGGGGTCTCAGGTGCGTGGCCTGAAGCTGAGAAGACGGCGGGGAAAAAAGGCGGGGGATGGAAGCGGGGTTGAGGGGGGGGGGGTGGGGGTGGGAGTGGCCGGGGGGGGTCAGTGAATGGACGAGGCCGGAGTGGCGGAGGCGGGGACGAAGGCCGGGGCCGCTTATCCTGCAACCAAGATTGGGGTCTCAGTTCTTGCCTGAAGCGGAGAAGACGGCGGAGCGGTGACGAGGCCGTAGGGCGGAAGCTGGACGAGGCGCGGGAGGGAGCGCTTATCCTCACCAAGCTGGTGTCTCAGGTGCGTGGTCTCGCAGCCGCAAGACGCCGGAGGCCGAGACGAAGCCGGAGCGCTTATCCTCAACCAAGATGGGGTTTCAGGTGCTTGATCTGAAGCTGAGAAGACGCCGGAGGCGGGGACGAAGCCGGAGCGCTTATCCTCAACCTAGATGGGGTTTCAGGTGCTTGGTCTGAAGCTGAGAAGACGGCGGAGGCAGGGACGAGGCCGGAGCGCTTATCCTCAACCAAGATGGGTTGTCAGGTACACGGTTTTAAGCGGAGAAGACGGCGGAGGCGGGGACGAAGCCAGAGCGCTTATCCTCAACCAAGATGGGGTTTCAGGTGCTTGGTCTGAAGCTGAGAAGACGGCACAGGCGGGGACGAAGCCGGAGCGCTTAAGGCTCGGGTGCATGGTCTCAAGCCGAGGAAGACGGCGGAGGCGGGGACGAGGCCGGAGCACTTGTCCTCAACCAATATGGGGTTTCAGGGAAGGCGGAGGCGGGGACGAAGCCAGAGCGCTTATCCTCAACCAAGATGGGGTTTCAGGTGCTTGGTCTGAAGCTGAGAAGACGGCACAGGCGGGGACGAAGCGGGTGGGGGGGTGGACGAAGCCGATCGCTTAAGTCCTCGGGTTGCAGTCCTCAATGGTCAACCGATGGAAGGCGAAGGCGGGACGGACAGGCCGGAGTGCCCGGCGCTTATCCTCACCAATAATGAGGTTTCAGGTGCCACGGTTTTTAAGAAGCTGAGACGACGGCGAAGGCCCGGACATGCCGGGTTCTTGTCCTAACCACTATGGGGTTTCACGGGGAAAAAAAAAAAAAAAAAGAAAAAAGCGGAGGCAGGGTGGGGGGGGGGGCATGGAAGTGTAGGGGGAGGGTGCAGGGGGCAAGGGTGTAAGGGGAAGCAGAGGTAGGGAGGGACCGAGACGCCGGAGCGCTTATCGTCAACCAAGATGGGGTTTCAGGTGCACGGTTTTAAGCTGAGTAGACGGCGAAGGCACGGACGAGGCCGGAGTGCTTGTCCTCAACCAATATGGGGTTTCAGGGAAAGCGGAGGCGGGAACGAGGCCGGAGCGCTTATCCTCAACCAAGATGGGGTTTCAGGTGCACGGTTTTATGCTGAGTAGACGGCGAAGGCACGGACAAGGCCGGAGTGCTTGTCCTCAACCAATATGGGGTTTCAGGGAAAGTGGAGGCAGGGACGAGGCCGGAGCGCTTATCCTCAACCAATGTGAGGTCCGAGGTGTGCGGTCTTAACCTGAGGAACGCAAGCCAGGGACGAGGACGGAGGGTTTATCCTCAACCAATATGGGGTCCCAGTCCGGGACGAGGCTGGAGGGCTCATACTCGACCCACATGGGGTCTTGGGTGCGTGAGAAGGCGAAGGCGGGGACGAGGCCGGAGCGCTTATCCTCAACCAAGATGGGGTTTCAGGTGCACGGTTTTAAGCTGAGTAGACGGCGAAGGCACGGACGAGGCCGGAGTGCTTGTCCTCAACCAATATGGGGTTTCAGGGAAAGCGGAGGCGGGGACGAGGCCGGAGCGCTTATCCTCAACCAATGTGAGGTCCGAGGTGTGAGGTCTTGACCTGAGGAACGCAAGCCAGGGACGAGGACGGAGGGCTTAGCCTCAACCAATATGGGGTCCCAGTCCGGGACTAGGCTGGAGGGCTCATCCTCGACTCACACGCTTATCCTCAACTAATGTGGGGTTCAAGGTGCGTGGTCTCAACTCGAAAAAGGATGGAAGCGGGGACTCCACTCGAAGAAGACCTAGGCGGGGACGAGGCCGGAGTACTTATAATCCTCGACCAATATGGGGTCCCAGGTGCGTGGTCTCCACTCGAAGAGGACTGAGGCGGGGACAAGGCCGGGGCGAGCATCCTCAACCAATATAGGGTCCCAGGTATGTGGTCTCCACCGGGAAGAGTCCATGAAGTACAAGCAGGCTCATTGGAATGTCTGTGGAATGCCTGCCCGAACTGGGGCACAAGTTGAAAGCAGGCCATGCATCTGTTCTGCGCAGCTGCAAGGTTCAAGCTGAAACCCCAGTCTCCAGTCAATTTCTCCTCATGGATAAGCCAACTCTGCTGGCTTGTCTTACCTGTACCTGCACAAGTGCACAGAAGTGGCAGCGGTTGTCCGCGTACCTGAGGGGGCTGATCCAGGAGTACACCTCGAAATCAGATTGGGCCCTGAAGTTACCATGCCTGTCGCTACTAGGATGCCTGGTCAAATACCCAAGGATCGCCAAGAAACTGGCAAGCGATCTTGACTTCGCACGGCGCCTGCGATGCTTCCCCGCCGATGCGTTCACGGGGCTGAATAAATACGTCAAGAAAGATATCCGACTATGCCTCAACAACTTGCAGACTGTCGAACGAAAGCAAAAGGCAAGGCTCAGAAGACGAAAACAAGATGAGATCTGGGAGCGGAGGCATGCGGCAGCAAAGCGCCTGTCCGAACGTACAACCGCGGCTCTGGCAATGGTGGTAGAAGCCATTCGCCGGAAAAGGCTCGGCTGAAGTATGTCGTTTCACTCATCGAAATACAGCGAAATGATCGGAAAATCCGAGCTTTACTCGGTTCCAAGCCGCTGTAGTCCCATTATCTCCATAGTAACATAGTACACGCTTAGTGGAACGCACGGAAGGCCGGCAAAGAGAGAAGGCTGGAAGGTCCGCCAACCCGGCCAGTTGGCTTATACTGAATTCGTGCAGCGTGTTAGGGTGCTGCTATACCGTTTCCCACCATGTCCCAGGTGTATAGCCTCCACTCCAAGAGGACAGAGGCCGGGACGAGACCGAAGCGCTTATCCGCACCCAATATGGAGTCCCAGGTGTGCACTTCCAACTTGAAGAAGGCGGAGGCGGGGACGAGGCCGGAGCGCTTATCCTCGCCCACTATATGGAGCCCCAGGTGCGTGGTCTCCACTCGAAGAAGACTGAGGCGGGGACAAGGCCGAAGCGCTTATCCTCAATCCATATGGGGTCCCAGGTGCGTGGTCTTCACTCCAAGAGGACGTAAGTGGGGACAACATCAGAGCGCATATCCTCAAGCAATATGGGGTTCCAGGTGCGTGGTCTCCACTCCAAGAGGACCGGAGCAGGGACGAGGCCGGCGCTTAACCTCAAGCAATACTATGGGGGTTCCAGGTGCGTGGTCTCCACTCCAAAAGGACGAAGGCCGGGACAAGGTCGGAGCGCTTATCCTCAACTAATATGGGGTCCCAGGTCTGTGGTCTCCACTCCAAGAGGACCGAGGCGGGGACAAGGCCGGAGTGCTTATCCTCACACAATACGGGATCCCAAGTGCGTGGTCTCCACTCGAAAAGACCAGGGCGGGGACGAGGTCGGAGCGCTTATCCTCAACTAATATAGAATGCCAGGTTCATGGTCTCTACTCGAAAAGGATGGAAGCGGAGACAAAGCCGGAACACTTGTCCTCAACCAATACAAGGTCCCGGGTGCGTGGTTTCCGCTCCAAAAGATCGGGGACGAGGCCGGAGCGCTTATCCTCAACTAATATGGAATGCCAGGTTCATGGTCTCCACTCGGAAAGGATGGAAGCGGGGACAAAGCCGGAACACTTGTTCTCAACCAATACAGGGTCCCGGGTGCGTGGTTTCCGCTCCAAAAGATCGGGGACGAGGCCGGAGCGCTTATCCTCAACCAAGATGGGGTTTCAGGTGCACGGTTTTAAGCTGAGAAGACGGCGGAGGCGCGGACGAGGCCGGAGTGCTTGTCCTCAACCAATATGGGGTTTCAGGGAAAGGGCGGGGACGAGGCCGGAGCGCTTATCCTCAGCCAATGTGGGGGCCGAGGCGTGTGGTCTTAACTTGAGGAACGCAAGCCAGGGACGAGGATGGAGGGCTTATCCTCAACCAATATGGGGTCCCAGTCCGGGACGAGGCTGGAGGGCTCATCCTCGACCCACATGGTCTCTCGGGTGCGTGGCCCCAAGTGAGGGTTCTCATTCTTTCGAAGACAGAGCCAAGGACAAGGCCGGGAGGGCTTATCCTCAATCAATATGGGGTTCCGAGGTGTGGGAGCTCAATCTAGTAAAGCATCTCTAGATTTAACGGTCCGCAGTGATGTCCGCAGCGCTTACAGGTCTCCAAACTCAAGCACCCCTGTAAACTTCCGACTGCCCTTGTTGCCTTTCCACGATGGTCGCCATCCGCTTCCTGAAGTGGACGCTCACCTACGAGCACATATCAGGCGAGCCTGTAGTATGGAAGCCAAGTGCACACAACCCCCCCCCCACTTCCGTGCCGGGCAGGCACCGAAGGGCGTCGCGGCCTCGGGGCAACCTGCACACCAATGTACACACTAAGAACACTGGCCTGCCCGCCAGTCGACCGTAGACTGAGGCGTATGCCGAAAGAAGGAAATCTTATATTTGTACGCGATCATCGGGCCTTTGACCTCCTGCAGGCTCGAATCAGATGATAGAAGGTGTGACAAACAGCTGGATGTGCGCAGGCGTGTTGTCTTCTCGACGCCCGCACAGCAGACGTCCGATGTACACGGAGGCTGGGCGCTGAAGCAAGTGGCTGGCTTCGGAGTGCTCGAAGTGGGCTTCAACTGTCGGGGCTCCCGCGGCCGCAACATCTGGCTGGCACTGGTGGCAGGCCGGCTCTTCCGGTGTCGCATATAGGAAGCACGACACGCAAAACGCATGCCCCAACCTCCAGGGCCGGACGGCGTCTTCTTCGGTGCGCATCAGAACGGATGGGACTACGTGCGAGCGACAAGCGTGTCTGTTGACTGGCACGACATTCCCTTGACCTCGGGTCTCGAATATGGAGCCACGCCGTAGCCAAACACGCCGGACGAAGCCGAGGACCCGCCGGGAGGAAAGGGCCAACGCTAGCACCTGCAGTAGTTTTGCTTTGCGCCCATACGGAAGCGCACAACAGTCATACACATGAAAGGTGACGAGGGCACGCTACTTTCGGCTCAATCAGCAAAGCCATATTGCGGCGTTAGGGGCTGTTGTCTAGTCTCGTTCTACCTGCGCGCCAAGCTCAGCCCCCACAACGCGAACACCACGACTCGTCACGGCAAGCGCGCTAAGGACATGGGCATGCCGGCTGGGGCGACACCATACTCAATGCCAGGCCAGCGGAAGTGTCACCTCAAAGGAAGAATACATAGGAAATCAGTCCAGGCAGGCCAAGTTGCTGAATAGTCCGCCAGGCGAAGTGGGGTGCAAGGGTACTGCTGAATCTGTCCAGCTGGTCAAGGCTGATCTGCAAAGAGGATAGCGCGCTAGCATGACTGAACTTACGTGGGACGACACAGGTCTCCGTGCCGAAACCGACTATGTCGCCGAAGGCGAAATTGTCACGGGCTCTAACCACCTTAATGTACACGGAAGGATTATACATGCCTGCCAACCGCCAGGCCTTCGCACTGTGCGCTCTAAAAGCGGCCAAAGCCAAATCGAGACCTCGGCCAACACAGAAGGCGTGTTGCCCCGGTTATTTTGCTGCTCCGACGACTGCCAGCCCTGCACGTACGCTCATCGAGGCACGACACAGCTGCACACCCACCACGAATTCCAACACCGCTAAGGCGGGGTGCGTGCGGTGCATGCCCAACATTGTGCGTACAAATCGAGTTTGCGTGCAGGCACCGGCAACAGTGAGAGTGTGGCAGAAACCAGCAAACGGCCGGTACTTACCGGTGCCGGCGCAGTGGAAGTGCTGGCAAAGGCCAGTCAATGGCCGCTGCGTACCGGTACCGGCCCATTGGAAGTGTCTCGACCGATACGTTCCAGAGCCTGTCATCGAGTAAATCAAGCACGGGCAAAGCGTATCACACCAAGAGAGACAGGTCTAGCAACTGTACGGGTGCAGCATGAAATCGAGCCGCCGCTACGCAACTTCCGCAGCGCGAGTATAGGAGTTGTAACCTTGCCACTTACAGCACCTGGCCGACACATGCGAACCGAAGGAGAGTTGCACTTCATGTCGTCTTCCGCAGCTACCGAGTCCTCACAGCCAAAGTACCGGCGGCAGTTAGCGCACGAACCCGGCAGTACAGAGATGCCAGCAACAGACCGACTAGGCTGGCCTCCACATGTACAGCATTCGGGCACGATCGCGGAAGAACAGAGTTGTGCATGTGTCAGGCATTCCAGACGACGAGAAGCGAATCAACCTGGCCTTCGGGAAGACCACGTATGCGCTCAAGATTCGCCCTGCGTGGCTGCAGCAGATACTCACAGGCGCGGGCCCTCGAAGCCACACACTCAACGCACCGGCTCCAGTCCAGATTGCGAGACCTACTGCAGGAACGAAAACGATCGAGCTCCGAAAGAAACCATGTCCGCCCTACCTCGAGATGACCACGATCAGCCTGATGGAGACAGGGAGTAGGTTTATTCGCGGCACTGCCGTCATCAAAGAGTCGCACCAACTCACGGTCCGGGAGAAAGTCCTTTTTGCGGATATCCTGCAGGCGCCCAGCCTTGCATCACACAATCAAAACCTGAAGCCCGGGCGTGCAGGCTCTCAACTACGATGCTGACAAAACCTATGCGTGGACCCTGCAGGACGTCCAGCGGCATGGAACACCGTTTCAGGCCTGTCTTACCGCACACCAGCACACGGCACCTGCATGCGAGCAGGTGCCGACGTGGGCAGCGAGAGGTGCGGTGGTCTGGCTACGACGTGAGCACTGCTTGCGTATGGCTCGCATGCCTGTAGAGATACGGGAAAGCCCGAGCAAGCGCAAGCGCAGACGCTCGGCGAGTCTCGCCCTTTCATGAAGAAATGCCTGTCGCAGCAGAGAACAGCACAACTTGCGCATATACCCTTGCTCGCACAGTATGCCGACTCATCCAAACTTCAGTGTTGATCTTTCGCCTTGCCCCGCCGAGTGTGCTCAGAGAATGTCGTAGTGCTCAACGGGTGCACAGGCCGTCTTTGCAATGAACGTGACTACGCTCGTACACTGTCTAGAAGAAGACTGGGGCACCTCGACACGGCAGATGCTGACAGCAGAGGAGCTCCTGCTGCTGCTACAGCTAAAGAGATCCCTGCCGATGAGGAACCTTTTCTGGGCACTCCGACTCCAAGCGGACGTAGCTGCGCTGCGGACAATCATGGCTTCTCTGCGGAGCACTCAACTGCGCTTTCCCGGCTTCCGCTTACCAGTAACCGTCCATTCTAGCAAAACCTGGACCTCACCAAGTCCTGACGACCCCCTGCAGACCCTGGGAACGGTCGAACACCTGCTACATTGGATGGAGGACTTCGGCCTAGGCCGCTTCACACCCAGTGAGGCAGTGCTCGTAATGAATGCCTGGCCCAAGACCTCCAGGGACGTGGGAGCCGCCCTCAGCGATGTCTTGACCGAAGCACACGCCGAGTTCTTCTACAGGACCGGGTTCGCTCCCATAATGCCCGACTCCCGAATCAAGAGTATGATGGCATGTGCAGTGGTGTTTTTTGTGTACAGAGGCTTGCGAGGCGTGCTGTATATTCGAGCACCCACGTGCTAGCAGGCTCGTATTTCAGCTCCCCGGCCTGCCAGAGAAGCCATCTCCGGAAGCTCCTGCGTGTTCAGCTGCGATACACCTGGTCGCCAAACATTGTACAGGTCAGATACCGAACTCGTCGACATCATCGCGACGACAAAAGACGCGAAGCTTCCAACGAAGACACGGAATCCTGCCACCGTACCGCCACGCTTATCCTCCATCTAACTAGGGGTCGGGAGGTGCAGCCGCCACGCTAGTGCTCAACCTGACTTAATTAATAGAGGTCCGGAGGCGCAGCCGCCACGCTTGTCCTCAAGCTGAGTCGAGTACAGCGGCCTATGTAGCCAACAACGCATTCACCCATCATTGAGGCACGCGAGGCCCAGTTAGGTCTCGCTCTCATGAAGACGGAAGCCGGGACAAGACGGAGGCGAGGCTTATCCTCAACCAATATGGGGCCGCTGGTCCGCGGCTCCCAGAAAGATGGAGGCCGGGACAAGGCCGAGGGGTGGGGGGGCTTATCCTCAAGCGATGTGGGGCAAAGACGAAGACCGGGGACAACACGGAGGCCGGGCTTATCCTCAACCAATGTGAGGTCCCTAGTCCGAGGTCCCAGAAAGATGGAGGCCGGGCGGGCGGTTATCCTCGAGCAAGATGTGGTGTCAGGTGCCCGGCTCCAGCTCTCATGAGGAGGGAGGGCGCCGACGAGACGGAGGCCGGGCTTCCACAACCAATATGGGGTCCCTAGTCCGTGGTCCCAGAGAGCTGGAGGCCGTGGCTAGGCTGGGGGGCTTATCATCAAGCAATATGGGGTCTGAGGTGCCCGGTCCCAGAAGCGCGGTCTCGCTCTCGGGACGACGGAGGTCGGGGAAAAGACGGAGGCCAGGCTTATCCTGAACCAATATGGTGTCCCCAGTCCGTGACGACATAAAGACGAAGGCCGGGACAATGCCATCGTTTCCATCCCCAGTCGTGGTCCCAGAAAGATGGCGGCCGGGACAAGGCCGGGAACCTTATCCTCAAGCAATATGGAGTCTCAGGTGCCTGATCCGAGGCGTGCGGTGTTGCTCTCATAAAGACGGAGGCCGCTGACAAGACGGAGGCCGGGAAGCAGTATGGGGTCTCAGGTGCCTGGTCCCAAGCGGGTGGTCTCGCTCTCATGACGACGGCTCTTCCTCGAGCAAAATGAGGTCTCAGGTGCCTGGTCCCAAGCGGGTGGTCTCGCTCTCATGACGACGGCTCTTCCTCGAGCAAAATGAGGTCTCAGGTGCCTGGTCCCGGCCGTGTGGTCTAGCTCTCATGAAGCGGGGACGAGGCCGGAGCACTTATCCTCAACCAAGACGGGACTTCAGGTTCTTAAGCAGAAGACGGCGGAGGCAGGGACGAGGCCGGAGCATTTATCCTCAGCCAACATGGGGTGTCGGGTGCATGGTTTTAAGCCAAGAAGACGGCGGAGGCGGGGACGAGGCCGGAGCGCTTATCCTCAACCAAGATGGGGTTTCGGGTGCGTGGTCTCAAGCCGAAGAAGGCGAAGGCGGGGACGAGGCCGGAGCGCTTATCCTCAACCAAGATGGGGTTTCAGGTGCATGGTCTGAAGCCGAGAAGACTGTGGAGGCAGAGACGAGGCCGGAGCGCCTATCCTCAACCAATATGGGGTCTCGGGTGCGTGGTCTCAAGCCGAAGAAGGCACTTATCCTCAACCAAGATGGGGTTTCAGGTGCATGGTTTTAAGCTGAGAAGACGGTGGAGGCGGGGACGAGACCGGAGCGCTTACCCTCAACCAATATGGGGTCTCAGGTGCGTGGTCTCAAGCCGAAGAAGGCACTTATCCTCAACCAAGATGGGGTTTCAGGTGCATGGTTTTAAGCTGAGAAGACGGTGGAGGCGGGGACGAGGCCGGAGCGCTTACCCTTCAACCAATATGGGGTCTCAGGTGCGTGGTCTCAAACCGAAGAAGGCGAAGGCGGGGACGAGGCCGGAGCGCCTATCCTCAACCAAGATGGGGTCGTGGGTGCATGGTCTGAAGCTGAGAAGACGGCGGAGGCGGGGACGAGGCCGGAGCGCCTATCCTCAACCAAGAGGGGGTTTCAGGCGCGTGGTCTCAAGCTGAGAAGACGGCGGAGGCGGGACGAGGCCGGAGCGCCTATCCTCAACCAATATGGGGTCGCGGGTGCGTGGTCTCAAGCCGAAGAAGGCGAAGGCGGGGACGAGGCCGGAGCCCTTATCCTCAACCAAGAGGGGGTTTCAGGTGCATGGTCTGAAGCTGAGAAGACGGCGGAGGCGGGACGAAGCCGGAGCGCCTATCCTCAACCAATATGGGGTCGCGGGTGCGTGGTCTCAAGCCGAAGAAGGCGAAGGCGGGGACCAGGCCGGAGCACTTATCCTCAACCAAGATGGGGTCGCGGGTGCGTGGTCTCAAGCCGAAGAAGGCGAAGGCGGGGACCAGGCCGGAGCACTTATCCTCAACCAAGATGGGGTCGCGGGTGCGTGGTCTCAAGCCGAAGAAGGCGAAGGCGGGGACCAGGCCGGAGCACTTATCCTCAACCAAGATGGGGTCGCGGGTGCGTGGTCTCAAGCCGAAGAAGGCGAAGGCGGGGACCAGGCCGGAGCACTTATCCTCAACCAAGATGGGGTCGCGGGTGCGTGGTCTCAAGCCGAAGAAGGCGAAGGCGGGGACCAGGCCGGAGCACTTATCCTCAACCAAGATGGGGTCGCGGGTGCGTGGTCTCAAGCCGAAGAAGGCGAAGGCGGGGACCAGGCCGGAGCACTTATCCTCAACCAAGATGGGGTTTCAGGTGCATGGTTTTAAGCTGAGAAGACAGTGGAGGCGGGGACGAGGCCAGAGCGCTTATCCTCAACCAATATGGGGTCCCAGGTGCGTTATCCTCGACCGATATGGGGTTTAGGGTTTAAATTTAGGGTCCGCTGTAAGCTGAGAAGACGGTGGAGGCGGGGACGAGGCCGGAGCGCTTATCCTCAACCAATATGGGGTCCCAGGTGCTCAACCAAGATGGGGTTTCAGGTGCATGGCTTTAAGCTGAGAAGACAGTGGAGGCGGGGACGAGGCCGGAGCGCTTATCCTCAACCAATATGGGGTCCCAGGTGCGTTATCCTCGACCGATATGGGGTTTAGGGTTTAAATTTAGGGTCCGCTTTAAGCTGAGAAGACGGTGGAAGCGGGGACGAGGCCGGAGCGCTTATCCTCAACCAATATGGGGTCCCAGGTGCTCAACCAAGATGGGGTTTCAGGTGCATGGCTTTAAGCTGAGAAGACGGTGGAGGCGGGGACGAGGCCGGAGCGCTTATCCTCAACCAATATGGGGTCCCAGGTGCGTTATCCTCGACCGATATGGGGTCCCTGGTGCGTGGTGTCAACCCGAAGCAGACGAAGGCAGGGACAAGGCAGGAGGGTTTAGCTTCGACCAATATAGGGTTTCAAGTCAGCATCGGGTCGAACGAAGCCGGAAGCAGGAACAGGGACGAGTCCCCGCTGCGCTTATCTTCAACCTGAGTCAGAGTTACGAGGCGCAGCCAACACAAGTGCAGCACAGGCCGAGCCGGCCTCTCTCCAACGGAAGTGGCGGGCAGAAAACGAAACCAGCTCACTGTGGACGTATCGTGTATGATGTGCCACCGAATCTGCGAGCAAATCTTCATCACCTGTTCAAGCGCCCGTCCGAGCAAGCCTGCATGCGAGGGTCTAGCACCGCACGTAGCTCTCCCGCAACAGCCATGGCAGGACATTTTGAGCCGGACCTAATTCGGCAGATGATTGCCCGCTTCATGGACGAGATTCGCAAGGTTCCCGTTCGTTTCGGCATACAACAACCACTCGAGTCGGCAGAGCTATCAGCGGACATCACGCACGCCATCGGAGAGCTCTCGCGGCACATGCACCTCGATGAAACGGACTCACAGTGGCTCATGTATCTGGCATCGCACCTCGAGCCTGAACTCGGAGCAACGCTCATTCCTGCGCTATGGAGACTCAAGGAGGATGTCATGATGTGGACGGTACGCTGCCAGCGACCTCGAGAGCCTTCGCCCTTCAGTCTGCCACCTGCGGCAGCCGAGAGCGGAACCGACGGAGCCTGCGCGGCGCAAGCGCCAGCGTGGAGGAAACGGCCATGCCCCGCCAGCCCCCAACATCTCGGTCCACGAACAGTGCCCGATCTGAATATGGCATGCTTCTCTTCGGTCCTTCCTAACTGAATATGGCATGCTTCTCTTCGGTCCTTCCTAACTCCAGCAGCCTGTGACCAGGAGAAGAAGATTACTTAAGAGCTGCGAACGCCATCGTCGGAGGACAGTCCGTGACCCCGAGTGCACCTGTTTGACGGAGCAGAATCAGAGTCACCTCTGCAGGAGACCGGCGCGCGGTCCCAGACTGCAACGGCTGTTTCAACGATCTAATTCCAACCGAGCTGCAATGCAGAAAAGCAGGAGCTGATGCAAACCGGCAGTCGCACGACCGGACACTCTTCACCGACGGTCTGAATAATTAGAGTGATAGTGACAATGTCAACATGCAATCCAGCTGTCTCAATCCAACCATCGTCCCAACGCCACGACACACCCCGTGAGACGTCTGATCAAGAGAAGCCCCTGCTAGTTCACGTAGACCCGATATGATGATCGCCATCACAATGATGTTCTGGACCTACGAGTACAAGCACATCCGGCCAAGTGGAAGGATTGCGCGCCACGGGGAACGGCTGACCCTCTGTCTCTTCATTGCGGTCAGCGACGACCAGCCCCAGGGCCGCACAACAGCATCGTAGCTCTGAAGCGGACCCCACTCACAGTCCAGTGTAGCGTATACATCCCTGTACACCCACGTACAAATACATAGAAGGAAGTAAACAGCAATGACACCCGGTGCACAGGCAAGCGAGAGCATCGCCCTACTGTATCTTTACGACCCACTACGGCACGAGCACCAATGCCCATGGAGGTTGGGATGTCAAGCGCGTCGGCTCCTTCACCAGGATCACGCCACGATTCAACATCATGGGACCGGGATACACAAACACCCAGTTGTATCTGTACGGCGTCTTGGCTGCACCCCAGCAGTGCATGTCCATGAGCGACGAGTTCGACACCCTCTTCTCACCCCCCCCACGCACCCAAGCGCAGAGTAGGTGAGTACGGCACTTACATCGGCACGCACCCCAAGAAGGGTCACGACATCATCCTGCAGTTTCACGACTACTACTGTGAGACAATTCGAGTCCGACGTGCCCTAGCCATGTGAAGCAGCGCATACCAGTGCGATGACAGCGGCTCGAAGAAAAGCTGATGCACGGCCGCTGCCGTGTTGCGTTGACTGGAAATCCACAGTCCGACGAGCTGTGAGGATGCATGCACGACAAACGCATGTGAAATCATCTGCACGCATCCGACCGCAGTGCTACAATCATCAACTGTGCAATAGCACCAGCCCTAGTCAGCCGCAGCCGCGAAGCCCCGTGCGATCCACACAGCCATGGCTCTCTCTCAGGACATGCAGGCGCAGAAGAAAAGGCGCTTCTCCGCGATCGACATCACGCCGTCCCGGAGCAACGGCACCGGCGACGCAGAAGGCAACGAGCTGACGGCAGTAGTAAGAAGGTGGGGGAGCGCCTTCACCGTGTTCGAAGGTGCGGATCGAGACACTCCCCTGTGGCAGCTCCAGATCTGTCACGCCGGACGGAATTCTTTCGGGTATCAGGTGCTGGCAGTTGCCAGAGAAGCGGTGCAGAAACATCCCAATCCCAACGTCCGGGATCTGCAACAACTGGAGTCGATCCTCCAGGTGCGACTCCTGAACGGGGCGCCGCCCCAAAATGGTCCGCTGGACCCGGACGGGACAGGGCTGGAAGCTTGGCAAGTCGTTCTGTACTCAACTTCGGTCTCAGCTGCATTGGACTTCGTCCAACTGGTGCTGAGCCACAAGGTCACCAAGGGACACTTGCTGCAACTGCCCCCCCTGCACATCGCAAGTCCAGACGGCGCGGTGGACACGGTGCCTCATCCCTGGAAGTCGAGTCACTATCCGTTACACGGCCCGAAAGCCTTCGCCGCGCTGCCTCCAAGAGGACGCCGCCACGTTTTGTGCCAGGTCGAGCTTCGTCAGTCTGCGGTCAAGACGACCAGCAGCCAGGATTCGGGACAGGCAGAGGAGACGAATATGGACACCGAAGCCGACGACAACGCGAAGGCCATCTACACAGTCAGCATTTTCGGAGGCATTTACCCGTACCGCGAACTCTTCGATGCGGCCAACATCTCCGGTGGGCACATAACACAACCGGACGGCAATCGCGACTACGTGCGCTTTCTGGAAGTTCACAACGACGACCAAGGCAAAGACAGATTGAAGTCGGTCTTCGAGCAGATCCTGCTCCACGTGCCCGTGTACCTCATCGACTCCACCCAGACCCCTGACGACGAGATGGTGTCCTGGATCGGCAGCCTGCCCTCGGTGGAGCTCGGAGAAACGAGCTCCTGAAGATCCTCGCTGAGGCTCCCTGTACAGACCTTCCTTGCAACGTGCGGCGCGGCGCACTGCACAGAGCCCGCCCTTCGGCAGACGGGGGAGAGACCAGTCCGCGACCGACAGCAAAAAGAAGACATGGTGGCGTGAGCCATAACGTTGCCCGAAAGGGAATGCAGGGTGAGGCGGTGACCAAGGAACACTCAGTGCGCGCAGCATCCCGACACCTCGAGCCAAGGTAACAGGACCTGAGCCCTCCAACCCAACTGCCGTGGTGCCGACAGCATGCATACCGCCAACGGCTCGACCCCCTCTCCGAGCGCCGCCAACAGCCTCGCCGACGCATTCAAGAGAGCAGCACACAGCGCGGAGGAGATCCCGTTGCCGACTGTCGTGGACCAGGACGGGGATCTTAGACGAAGGTTTCCTGTTAACACCAAGCTCAAATCCTCGGCGCCAGGATGAGGTGGCGGAAGCCATCGTTCCCGACACGTGCCCAAGAGACACACCATCGGGCCTGGCCGACGACGGGCGTGAGGTCCAGGCGGGTAAGCGGGCTACACATAATCGATCGCCCTCGGTCAGGACTCGCCGCAGACGTTAGGTCGGCCTGATTCTTGTGTAGACAGGAGGCAAACACTCAGACGAAACAGTGCCAAGGAACCAGGGCTCGCATCAGAGAACCGGGGTCCAACACACCAACTCGGATGCAAGGTATGCGAAGAAGGAGAGAGGACCGGCGACGTGCCAGGCAACGGCGCTATGTGCTCTCGACGCGAAGGTCCTGTGCCTGAGGAGGGAGACAGAATCATGGTCATGAAGGAGGCTTGGTTGCAGCTCGTCATGAACCGTTTAAAGACTTTGGAGATCCGCGGTGCACCGGCTGCGTTGGGGAGAACTTGGCTGGGCTGCAATGGCCAAATTCACGGAGCAGCCAACATCGTCAACTGCAGCATCATCACGGAGGCAGACTTCCAAGCCACAAGAGCGCAGCACAGGCACTTGGGAGAAATGCCCAACTACAAGAAAACGTACGCCCTGGCTCTGCAAGACGTGACGCAGCTCGAGCCAAGCATCGACTACTATCGGCTGCCAGCCACATCACCGTGGGCGGTGTTTCGCACCGGACCAACTGGCAAATCACGTCGGTCGGGGGCGCAGAAAAGAACTTTGGAGCAAGCGCATGACACGAAGCCATGCGAAGACGTGCCGACGGAGCTCCGAGCCGAAGCCAGCCCGATGCCGCTGACATCCGGCATGGTGGACCCAGAAGAGCCTTCGCTCGGGGCAGGAGACCGGACGGACGAGCATGACGACAGGAACAAGGAGTGAGATGGAGCCGCCTCACAGCACAGGACTCGTCGGAATGACGAGGGGACCTATTGAAGCCTGTTTCAGGAAAGACCACTGCGGCCTGCGCAGAAAGACAGCCATGCCACTAGGACCCTCACGGATAGATCATGCAAGCACGAGTCATGAGTGCCGCATCACATAGCATCGCCGCAACGAGTCGCCTGGTTCTGCCACCCAGGGCCCGAGCAGCTGCCAACGAGCCATGCTGGTTTTCTCGGGCAGACAGGCCTGGGCGGACGTGCAGGAGCCCAGACTCGAACACGCAGCCACGGCCGCGCGATATACAGTGCCGTTGCAGACAGGACCACGACAACGCCGACGAGGAGGGGGCGCGGTATGCTCGGAACGGGTGTGCTTACCTCAAGCAACAGACGGAAGCCCTGCAGACGCTGCAGGACCCAGCGGCCGGCGCACCGCCGAGGCAGGACCACTTCGAGAATCGAGGAGGGTACCGTCGCCACCTCATCGGACCGAAGCCAGTATTTGCTTCGAATGGACAGTCTCACGCCGTGTAATGCTACGATATCTGAATGCAAGGCAGCAGCGACCTACTCTCCCCGAGAACGACACGCCCAGATACAGAGTCGCCGCTAGCATGGATGTCGGAAGGCCGTTATAACGGCACCGAATACAACGGCACGACGGATGCCGCAGAAACGACTTACGACACCGGGCAGCCGCTCAGTGCAGTCCTTAAAGCCGGATTGCAGGCACCAGCACGATCTTGCACAAGAGACCGTACCCAGGCGAGACGCGACTGAATCTCGAGCTAGCTGAATTCGTGCAAAGCGCCCTGTCTCATCGCTGGGAGCCCGAGGCACTGCAAGACTGGCAAACCAGCATGCAGCGCCGATGCCTCCGGCATCGTTTCCCTTGTCGACTCTGGTATGAGTTTATCTACGAATGGCGAGTAGAAGCGGAGCCAGCAGACCCACACACCTCGACCGGCTTCGGAAATCCGACGATACCGGGCCCAGCCGCGACGTCGTCAGCGCAACAGACGCTGTGCGACATTCGAGTACACGCAGCGCCCATCATACTGATAACATCCCAGCCGACCACGGCAGAACCCGTCACAGGGCAGCTGTCCGTACAGATTCGTAGACTGTGAGATAGGACCAGGGGAAAGTGGAGAGCCAGGAGACTTCAACATCGCCGCCCGCGCTGGCAGAAACAAGAATCGTGGTCGCAGCCTGCAGCTGAGTATCATACAGAAGCAGCTGCAGCCATAGGATCATCAGAAGCATCTAGTCCGGAGCGCACACCATGGCCATTCTCCTGTATTTTCTGGAAGCAGAGTGCGGTGTGCTGCTACGGCGGATGCTGACGCCAGCGGAGGTCCTCCTTCTGCTGCAAGTCAGCAGGTCCTCGAACATGAGAAGACTGGCGTGGGCCCGAGCCGTTCTGGCAGATGTGGCCAGGCTACGCAGGGTCTTGGAACCCTTGAGGACCATGCGACTGCGTTTCCCCGGCTTCGATCTTCCCGTGAGCATCAGATGCACGAAGGGCTGGACTCCGCCAGATCCCTCGGACCCACTGGAGACCTTGGGTCCCGTCGAGGATCTGCTCTATTGGTTGGACGACTTCGGGCTCGGAGGGTTCTCACCCGCCGAAGCGGTGCTGGTGATGAACGCGTGGCCGATAGAGACAAGGGACGCGGGCGCGGCTTTGAGCGACCTGCTGGAAGAATCGGACAGTCACTTCTTCTACTCGGCCAGGCCTGCCGCCTTCCGAAGGACATTCCGGCCCACGCTAGTAAACGTAGTCGTCTTTTTCACTTACAGAGGTCTGAACACCGTCCTTCAAATGCAAGACGTCGTCAATGACGGGTTCGACCCATAGACAGACAGTTGCCGGAGGGGACGTGAGTCCGAAGCGACCCCGTGCGACAGCATTCCACGCGACGGACGAAAAGGAAGACAGACTATGCGTTCCAGATGATGACTGCAGGAGCAAGTCCGAAGTCGACTCTATCCATCTGTGTCTGTTCTCGAGTACAGGGCATGTCGCAGCCGCTTCAGCGTCAAGCAAGAAAGCACGCGCAGGCTCCACTCGGATCCCGTCGCCTTGCATGTCGGGCATCGACTACTCCAAGTGGGACCTGCTTCAAAGCAGCAGCGACGAGGAAGACTTCGGGAACCCCATCCCGCCGCAGTCTCCGCGACAGCCCATCACGACAGGTCCCTGGGCGGTGGCCGATCCCTGGCGCAAGTGCAATAATCCACTAGTGCGACGTGAAGTGCTCAGAGAGGAGAAGATTCTCCACAGGTTCGTGCAAGAGCACCCCTGTCCATCCGAGAAAAGCCTTCGGCGCTGGCTTCGCAGCATGAGCGGCACGGAGAGAATCGTTCCCGGAGAGCTGACCTTTGCATGGGTGATGAAAGACATGGGGTGGAACTCCGAGCACTTGGCGTGGTTCCACTACCCGTCCTTCCGGGAGCTCTGGCAAGCGGCGGCCTTGCAAACGGCCGAGGCCTTCACAGTCCAACGCAATGCGGGCAGCACCCTGTACCAGCGCGGCGGCAAGGAGTGCATGCAGTTCAACTTCTACGCGCTGCAGCACGCCATGTGCGGAGAGCATTTTCACACGGACGCCCCACTCCCCGTGTACTCGTACGCGAAACGCCTGGAGCACGTCTGGGACGGGATCGGATCGTGGCGAGCGTAGTGAACCGCGCCTAGAGTATAGCTCGGCTAACAGACCAGAGCAGCGACGGCTGCCGTGAGAAAGCAGGCAAAAAGTGCACAGACCCCGATGCTTCAAGCAGTGAACAGCCCTACGGAGCGTCAGAGCCAAGTTCGGATGCGACGTCGGCCCGAGCGAAACAGAGATCTCTAGCATAAACTGCCCGGACCCAGGACGACCACCACCGGCGACCTGGCATAGTCCAGCAGGCCTGCACCTGCCATGTCGTACAGGAAAGACCACAGAGAAGCGGAGCAGAGCACCGAAGACACCGAGGCTCGGACACGCTTCATCCCGTTATCCAGGTCTACATGGAACAGCACGCCTGTCTGCCAGGCAACGGATGCCCGCCAGAAAGTACGAGATTTCCTAGGTGCACATCTCTTCCGAGCATGGTGCAGCGCCAATGTGAGCAAGTGGACCTATGCGGACGTTCCGAGCGTCTCGGAGATCGCGCCGGAGCAGAACCAGTGCCCATCGGAGGAAACCGTGCGTGAAGTGCTGTCCGGCATATCCGAAGTGGACAAGACACCGGAAGGCTTCGACTACTGCATCTACCGACTACTGTGGCCGAGACGAGACTTAGCAGCACACACCGATCTGACCCGTCTCGTTGCAATTTTCAAAACCGTGATGGCGGAAGGAGGCCAGCGCAAAGCGTGCCTGTACATCAACCTACTGTACAGCACCGGGGCCAGTAGTGCGGACCATCCAGAGAGGTCCGACCCCGCTATAGGACGACTACGGTACCGGGACCGTCTCTGGACGGCCAGTCAGATCGCAGACATTATCCTAAAGACCATCTAGTTGGCGGCGTCAGCATTCCATAGGGCCTAGCAGCTTCACCGACTTCGCAGGAGCAAAACGAGCGACCACCGCACCACACCAGCATCAGCCACGTAGCATGCACACTCTTCTGGCAGCTGTGGGCTCGAACCGGACACTTCGAAGTATACTAGAAGACCTCCCGTTACCGGACCCAAGTACAGGCGGAAAGCAGCCATGTCGTTGCGCGACGTTCTTGCCAGCTCCAAGGAGAACGAGGACCCCAACGAAAGCCAGGCACGATCGAGCGCGATGCCCCCAAGAACAACCATGAATCCGTGCGATGCCCCGTCCTGTGCACCCGACAGGCCGTACGCTCTTTCCGATATCTGCAAGAGTTCCTGTCCGTGCACATGTTCCAGGCCTGGTGCGACGCCTATGTGGAGAATGCAACTTACTCAGACCTCTGCGAAGATCCGGATGCGGATCCCATAGAAACCGAGATGCCGACGGAAGCTATCATGCACCGGATCATCAACGATCCACGCTTATCCGGTGCCAGACGAAGAGGGGGGCCAGGGGGTACAGCCGCCACGCTTATCCGGTGCCAGGCGAAGAGGTGCAGCTTCCACGCTTATCCTCAACCAGAATGGGGGCCAGGGGGAAGAGGCGCAGCCGCCACGCTTATCCTCAACCAGAATAGGGGCCAGGGGGTACAGCCGCCACGCTTATCCTCAACCGGTGCAGCCGCCACGCTATCCTCAACCAGAATGGGGGCCAGGGGGAAGAGGCGTAGCTGCCACGCTTATCCTCAACCAAAATAGGGGCCAGGAGTACAGCCGCCACACTTATCCGGTGCCAGGCGAAGAAGTGCAGCCGCTACGCTTATCCTCAACCAGAACGGAAGCCAGGAGGAAGAGGCGCAGCCGCCACGCTTATCCTCAACCAGAAGAGGGGCCAGCGGGTACAGCCGCCACGCTTATCCGGTGCCAGGCGAAGAGGTGCAGCCACCACGCTTATCCTCAACCAGAATGGGGGCCAGGGGGAAGAGGCGCAGCCGCCACGCTTATCCTCAACCAGAATAGGGGCCAGGGGGTACAGCCGCCACGCTTATCCGGTGCCAGGCGAAGAGGTGCAGCCGCCACACTTATCCTCAACCAGAATGGGGGCCAGGGGGAAGAAGCGCAGCCGCCACGCTTACCCTCAACCAGAATAGGGGCCAGGGGGGTACAGCCGCCACGCTTATCCGGTGCCAGGCGAAGAGGTGCAGCCGCCACGCTTATCCTCAACCGGTGCAGCCGCCACGCTTATCCTCAACCAGAACGCCACGCTTATCCTCAACCAAAATGGGGGCCAGGGGGAAGAGGCGCAGCCGCAATGGGGGCCAGGGGGAAGAGAGGCGCAGCCGCGACGCTTATCCTCAACCAGAAGAGGGGCCAGCGGGTACAGCCGCCACGCTTATCCGGTGCCAGGCGAAGAGGTGCAGCCGCCACGCTTATCCTCAACCAGAATGGGGGCCAGGGGGAAGAGGCGCAGCCACCACGCTTATCCTTAACCAGAATGGGGGCCAGGGAGAAGAGGCGCAGCCGCCACGCTTATCCTCAACCAGAATAGGGGCTAGGGGGTATCCGGTGCCAGGCGAAGAGGTGCAGCCGCCACGCTTATCCTCAACCAGAATGGGGCCAGGGGGAAGAGGCGCAGCCGCCACGCTTATCCTCAACCACCACTCCAAGAGGACGGAGGCCGGGACGAGGCCGAAGCGTTTATCCTCAACCAATATGGAGTCCCAGGTGTGTACCCTCAACTTGAATCGCTCTCATAAAGACGGAGGCCGCTGACAAGACGGAGGCCGGGAAGCAGTATGGGGTCTCAGGTGCCTGGACCCAAGCGGGTGGTCTCGCTGTCATGAGGACGGAGGGCGGGAACAAGACGGAGGCCGATCCTCAGTCAATATGGGGTCCCTGGAGCTCTTCCTCAAGCAAAATGGGGTCTCAGGTGCCTGGTCCCGGCCGTGTGGTCTGGCTCTCATGAGGCGGGGACGAGGCCGCAGCACTTATCCTCAACCAAGACGGGGCTTCAGGTTCTTAAGCAGAAGACGGCGGAGGCTGGGACGAGGCCGGAGCGCTTATCCTCAACCAAGATGGGGTGTCGGGTGCATGGTTTTAAGCTGAGAAGACGGCGGAGGCGGGGACGAGGCCGGAGCGCTTATCCTCAACCAAGATGGGGTTTCGGGTGCGTGGTCTCAAGCCGAAGAAGGCGAAGGCGGGGACGAGGCCGGAGCGCTTATCCTCAACCAATATGGGGTCCCAGGTGCGTGGTCTTCGCTCGAAAAGAATGAAAGCGGGGACCAGGCCGGGGAACGCTTATCCTCAACCAATATGGGGTCCCAGGACCTGCTTATCCTCAAGTAATATGGGGTCCCCGGTGCGTGATCCTCAACCAATATGGAGTCCCCGGTCGTGGTCCCAGAAAGATGGAAGCCGATCCTGAAGCAATGTGGGGTCTCAGGTGCCTGATCCCAGGCGTGTGGTCTCGCTCTCATAAAGACGGAGGCCGCTGACACGACGGAGGCCGGGAAGCAGTATGGGGTCTCAGGTGCCTGGACCCAAGCGGGTGGTCTCGCTGTCATGAGGACGGAGGGCGGGAACAAGACGGAGGCCGATCCTCAGTCAATATGGGGTCCCTGGAGCTCTTCCTCAAGCAAAATGGGGTCTCAGGTGCCTGGTCCCGGCCGTGTGGTCTGGCTCTCATGAGGCGGGGACGAGGCCGCAGCACTTATCCTCAACCAAGACGGGGCTTCAGGTTCTTAAGCAGAAGACGGCGGAGGCTGGGACGAGGCCGGAGCGCTTATCCTCAACCAAGATGGGGTGTCGGGTGCATGGTTTTAAGCTGAGAAGACGGCGGAGGCGGGGACGAGGCCGGAGCGCTTATCCTCAACCAAGATGGGGTTTCGGGTGCGTGGTCTCAAGCCGAAGAAGGCGAAGGCGGGGACGAGGCCGGAGCGCTTATCCTCAACCAATATGGGGTCCCAGGTGCGTGGTCTTCGCTCGAAAAGAATGAAAGCGGGGACCAGGCCGGGGAACGCTTATCCTCAACCAATATGGGGTCCCAGGACCTGCTTATCCTCAAGTAATATGGAACCGATATGGGGTCCCACTTGCGTTGTCTCGACTCCAAGAAGACCTGCCTCAGCTCGAAAAGGATGGAGGCCGGGACCAGGCCGGAGCGCTTAGCCTCAGCTGATATGGAATCCCAGGTGAGTGGCCTCCACTCGAAAGGATGGAAGCGGAGACCAGGCCGGGGAGCGCTTATCCTCAACCAATATGGGGTCCCAGGTGCGTGGTCTCCACTCCAAGAAGACCGGCTTATCCTCACCAGGTGCCTGGTTTCAGCCTAAAGATGACGGCGGCGGGGACAAGGCAGGAGCGCTTATCCTCAACCAATATGGGGTCCCAGGTGCATTATCCTCGACCGATATGGGGTCCCTGGTGCGTGGTGTCAACCCGAACCAGACGAAGGCAGGGACAAGGCAGGAGGGTTTAGCTTCGACCAATATGGGGTTTCAAGTCAGCATCGGGTCGAACAAAGCTGGAAGCAGGAACAGGGACGAGTTCCCGCTGCGCCTATCTTCAACCTGAGTCAGAGTTACGAGGTGCAGCCAACACAAGTGCAGCACAGGCCGAGCCGGCCTCTCTCCAACGGAAGTGGCGGGCAGAAAACTAAACCAGCTCACTGTGGACGTATCGTGTATGATGTGCCACCGAATCTGCGAGCAAACCTTCATCACCTGTTCAAGCGCCCGTCCGAGCAAGCCTGCATGCGAGGGTCTAGCACCGCACGTAGCTCTCCCACAACAGCCATGGCAGGACATTTTGAGCCGGACCTAATTCGGCAGATGATTGCCCGCTTCATGGACGAGATTCGCAAAGTTCCCGTTCGTTTCGGCATACAACAACCACTCGAGTCGGCAGAGCTATCAGCGGACATCACGCACGCCATCGGACAGCTCTCACGGCACATGCACCTCGATGAAACGGACTCACAGTGGCTCATGTATCTGGCATCGCACCTCGAGCCTGAACTTGGAGCAACGCTCGTCCCTGCGCTATGGAGACTCAAGGAGGATGTCATGACGTTGACGGAACGCTGCCAACGAACTCGAGAGCCTTCGCCCTTCAGTCTGCCGCCTGCAGCAGCCGAGAGTGGAGACGAGGAAGCCTGCCCGGCGCAGGCGCCAGCGTGGAAGAAACGGCCACGCTCCTCCAGTCCCCAATATCTCGGTCCACGAACAGTGCCTGATCTGAATACAACATGCTGCTCTTCAGTCTCCCCTAGCACCAGCAAACCTGTGACCAGGAGAAGAAGATTACTTAAGAGCCACGAACGCCATCGTCGGAGGACAATCCGCGACCCCAAGTGCAACTGTTTGACGGAGCAGAATCAGAATCACCTCTGCAGGAGACCGGCGCGCGGTCCCAGACTGCAACGGCTGGTTCAACGATCTAATTCCAACCGAGCTGCAACGCAGAAAAGCAGGAGCTGATGCGAACCGGCAGTCGCACGACCGAACACTCTTCACCGACGGTCCGAATAATCGGAGTGATAGTGACGATGTCGGCATGCAATCCAGCTGTCTCAATCCAATCATCGTCCTGGCGCCACGATACCCCCCGTGAGACGTCTGATCAAGAAAAGCCCCTGCTAGCTCACGTAGACCCGATATGATGATTGCCGTCGCAATGATGTTCTGGACCTACGAGTACAAGCACATCCGGCCAAGTGGAAGGATTGCGCGCCACGGGGAACGGCTGACACTCTGTCTCTTCATTGCGGTCAGCGACGACCAGCTCCAGGGCCGCACAACAGCATCGTAGCTCTGAAGCGGACCCCACTCACAGTCCAGTGTAGCGTATACATCCCTGTACACCCACGTACGAATACATAGAAGGAAGTAAACAGCAATGACACCCGGTGCACAGGCAAGCGAGAGCATCGCCCTACTGTATCTTTACGACCCACTACGGCACGAGCACCAATGCCCATGGAGGTTGGGATGTCAAACGCGTCGGCTCCTTCACCAAGATCACGCCACGATTCAACATCCTGGGACCGGGATACACAAACACCCAGTTGTATCTGTACGGAGTCTTGGCTGCACCCCAGCAGTGCATGTCCATGAGCGACGAGTTCGACACCCTCTTCTCACCCCCCCACACACCCAAGCGCAGAGTAGGTGAGTACGGCACTTACATCGGCACGCACCCAAAGAAGGGTCACGACATCATCCTGCAGTTTCACGACTACTACTGTGAGACAATTCGAGTCCGACGAGCCATAGCCATCTGAAGCAGCGCATACCAGTGCGATGACAGCGGCTGGAAGAAAAGCTGGTGCACGGCCGCTACCGTGTTGCGTTGACTGGGAATCCACAGTCGGACGAGCTGTGAGGATGCATGCACGACAAACGCATGTGAAATCATCTGCACGCATCCGACCGCAGTGCTACAATCATCAACTGTGCAATAGCACCAGCCCTAGTCAGCCGCAGCCGCGAAGCCCCGTGCGATCCACACAGCCATGGCTCTCTCTCAGGACATGCAGGCGCAGAAGAAAAGGCGCTTCTCCGCGATCGACATCACGCCGTCCCGGAGCAACGGCACCGGCGACGCAGAAGGCAACGAGCTGACGGCAGTAGTAAGAAGGTCCGGGAGCGCCTTCACCGTGTTCGAAGGTGCGGATCGAGACACTCCCCTGTGGCAGCTCCAGATCTGTCACGCCGGACGGAATTCTTTCGGGTATCAGGTGCTGGCAGTTGCCAGAGAAGCGGTGCAGAAACATCCCAATCCCAACGTCCGGGATCTGCAACAACTGGAGTCGATCCTCCAGGTGCGACTCCTGAACGGGGCGCCGCCCCAAAATGGTCCGCTGGACCCGGACGGGACAGGGCTGGAAGCTTGGCAAGTCGTTCTGTACTCAACTTCGGTCTCAGCTGCATTGGACTTCGTCCAACTGGTGCTGAGCCACAAGGTCACCAAGGGACACTTGCTGCAACTGCCCCCCCTGCACATCGCAAGTCCAGACGGCGCGGTGGACACGGTGCCTCATCCCTGGAAGTCGAGTCACTATCCGTTACACGGCCCGAAAGCCTTCGCCGCGCTGCCTCCAAGAGGACGCCGCCACGTTTTGTGCCAGGTCGAGCTTCGTCAGTCTGCGGTCAAGACGACCAGCAGCCAGGATTCGGGACAGGCAGAGGAGACGAATATGGACACCGAAGCCGACGACAACGCGAAGGCCATCTACACAGTCAGCATTTTCGGAGGCATTTACCCGTACCGCGAACTCTTCGATGCGGCCAACATCTCCGGTGGGCACATAACACAGCCGGATGGCAATCGCGACTACGTGCGTTTTCTGGAAGTTCACAACGACGACCAAGGCAGGGACAGATTGAAGTCGGTCTTCGAGCAGATCCTGCTCCACGTGCCCGTGTACCTCATCGACTCCACCCAGACCCCTAACGACGAGATGGTGTCCTGGATCGGCAGCCTGCCCTCGGTGGAGCTCGGAGAGACGAGCTCCTGAAGATCCTCGCTGAGGCTCCCTGTACAGACCTTCCTTGCAACGTGTGGCGCGGCGCATTGCACAGAGCCCGCCCTTCGGCAGACGGGAGGAGAGACCAGTCCGCGACCGACGGCGAAAAGAAAGCATGGCGGCGTGAGCCATAACGTTGCCCGAAAGGGAATGCAGAGTGAAGCCGTGACCAAGGAACACTCAGTACGCGCAGCATCCCGAGACCTCGAGCCAAGGTAACAGGACCTCAGCCCTCCAGCCCAACTGCCGTGGTGCCGACAGCATGCATACCGCCAACGGCTCGACCCCCTCTCCGAGCGCCGCCAACAGCCTCGCCGACGCATTCAAGAGAGCAGCACACAGCGCGGAGGAGATCCCGTTGCCGACTGTCGCGGACCAGGACGGGGACCTTAGACGAACGTTTCCTGTTAACAACAAGCTCAAATCCTCGGCACCAGGATGAGGTGGCGGAAGCCACCGTTCCCGACACGTGCCCAAGAGACACACCATCGGGCCTGGCCGACGACGGGCGCGAGGTCCAGGCGGGTAAGCGGGCTACACATAATCGATCGCACTCGGTCAGGACTCGCCGCAGACGTTCGGTCGGCCTGATTCTGGTGTAGACAGGAGGCAAACACTCAGACGAAACGGTGCCAAGGAACCAGGGCTCGCATCAGAGAACCGGGGTCCAACACACCAACTTGGATGCAAGGTATGCGAAGAAGGAGAGAGGACCGGCGACGCGCCAGGCAACGGCGCTATGTGCTCTCGACGCGAAGGTCCCGTGCCTGAGGAGGGAGACAGAATCATGGTCATGAAGGAAGCTTGGCTGCAGCTCGTCATGAACCGTTTAAAGACTCTGGAGATCCGCGGTGCACCGGCTGCGTTGGGGAGAACTTGGCTGGGCTGCAATGGCCAAATTCACGGAGCAGCCAACATCGTCAACTGCAGCATCATCACGGAGGCAGACTTCCAAGCCACAAGAGCGCAGCACAGGCACTTGGGAGAAATGCCCAACTACAAGAAAACGTACGCCCTGGCTCTGCAAGACGTGACGCAGCTCGAGCCAAGCATCGACTACTATCGGCTGCCAGCCACATCACCGTGGGCGGTGTTTCGCACCGGACCAACTGGCAAATCACGTCGGTCGGGGGCGCAGAAAAGAACTTTGGAGCAAGCGCATGACACGAAGCCATGCGAAGACGTGCCGACGGAGCTCCGAGCCGAAGCCAGCCCGATGCCGCTGACATCCGGCATGGTGGACGCAGAAGAGCCTTCGCTCGGGGCAGGAGACCGGACGGACGAGCATGACGACAGGAACAAGGAGTGAGATGGAGCCGCCTCACAGCACAGGACTCGTCGGAATGACGAGGGGACCTATTGAAGCCTGTTTCAGGAAAGACCACTGCGGCCTGCGCAGAAAGACAGCCATGCCACTAGGACCCTCACGGATAGATCATGCAAGCACGAGTCATGAGTGCCGCATCACATAGCATCGCCGCAACGAGTCGCCTGGTTCTGCCACCCAGGGCCCGAGCAGCTGCCAACGAGCCATGCTGGTTTTCTCGGGCAGACAGGCCTGGGCGGACGTGCAGGAGCCCAGACTCGAACACGCAGCCACGTTCGCGCGATATACAGTGCCGTTGCAGACAGGACCACAACAACGCCGACGAGGAGGGGACGCGGTATGCTCGGAACGGATCCGCTTACCTCAAGCAACAGACGGAAGCCCTGCAGACACTGCAGGACCCGGCGGCCGGCACACCGCCGAGGCAGGATCACTTCGAGAATCAAGGAGGACACCGTCGCCACCTCGTCCGACCGAAGCCAGTATTTACTTCGAGTAGACAATCTCACGCCGTGTAATTAATGCTACGATAGCTGAATGCAAGGCAGCAGCGACCTACTCTCCACGCGAACGACACGCCCAGATACAGAGTCGCCGCTACCATGGACGTTGGAAGGCCGTCATAACGGCACCGAATACAACGGCACGACGGATGCCGCAGAAACGACTCTCGACACCGGTCAGCCGCTCAGTGCAGTCCTTAAAGCCGGATTGCAGGCACCAGCACGATCATGCACAAGAGACCGTACCCAGGCGAGACGCAACTGAATCTCGAGCTAGCAGAATTCGTGCAAAGCGCCCTGTCTCGTCGCTGGGGGCCCGAAGCACTGCAGGACTGGCAAACCAGCATGCAGCGCCGCTGCCTCCGGCATCGTTTCCCTTGTCGACTCTGGTATGAGTTTATCTACGAATGGCGAGTAGAAGCGGAGCCAGCAGACCCACACACCTCGACCGGCGTCGGAAATCCGACGGTGCCGGGCCCAGCCGCGACGTCGTCAGCGCAACAGACGCTGTGCGACATTCGAGTACACGCAGCGCCCATCATCCTGATAACATCCCAGCCGACCACGGCAGAACCCGTCACAGGGCAGCTGTCCGTACAGATTCGTAGACTGTGAGATAGGACCGTGGGAAAGTGGAGAGGTAGCAGACTTCAACATCGCCGTCCGCGCTGGCAGAAACAAGAATCGTGGTCGCAACCGGCATCTGAGCATCATACAGAAGCAGCTGCAACCATAGGATCACCAGGAGCGTTTAGTCCGGAGCGCACACCATGGCCATTCTCCTGTACTTTCTGGAAGCGGAGTGCGGCGTGCTGCTACGGCGGATGCTGACGCCAGCGGAGGTCCTCCTTCTGCTGCAAGTCAGCAGGTCCTCGAACATGAGAAGACTGGCGTGGGCCCGAGCCGTTCTGGCAGATGTGGCCAGGCTACGCAGGGTCTTGGAACCCTTGAGGACCATGCGACTGCGTTTCCCCGGCTTCGATCTCCCCGTGAGCATCAGATGCACGAAGGGCTGGACTCCGCCAGATCCCTCGGACCCACTGGAGACCTTGGGTCCCGTCGAGGATCTGCTCTATTGGTTGGACGACTTCGGACTCGGAGGGTTCTCACCCGCCGAAGCGGTGCTGGTGATGAACGCGTGGCCGATAGAGACAAGGAACGCGGGCGCGGCTTTGAGCGACCTGCTGGAAGAATCGGACAGTCACTTCTTCTACTCGGCCAGGCCTGCCGCCTTCCGAAGGACATTCCGGCCCACGCTAGTAAACGTAGTCGTCTTTTTCACTTACAGAGGTCTGAACACCGTCCTTCAAATGCAAGACGTCGTCAATGACGGGTTCGACCCATAGACAGACAGTTGCCGGAGGGGAAGCGAGTCCGAAGCGACCCCGTGCGACAGCATTCCACGCGACGGACGAAAAGGAAGATAGACTATGCGTTCCAGGTGATGGCTGCAGGAGCAAATCCGAAGTCGACTGCATCCATCAGTGTCTGTTGTCGAGTACAGTGCATGTCGCAGCCGCTTCAGCGTCAATCAAGAAAGCACGCGCAGGCTCCACTCGGATCCCGTCGCCTTCCATGTCGGGCATCGACTACTCCAAGTGGGACCTCCTTCAAAGCAGCAGCGACGAAGAGGACTTCGGGAACCCCATCCCGCCGCAGTCTCCGCGACAGCCCATCACGACGGGTCCCTGGGCGGTGGCCGATCCCTGGCGCAAGTGCAATCCGCTGGTGCGACGTGAAGTGCTCAGAGAGGAGAAGATTCTCCACAGGTTCGTGCAAGAGCACCCCTGTCCATCCGAGAAAAGCCTCCGGCGCTGGCTTCGCAGCATGAGCGGCACGGAGAGAATCGTTCCCGGAGAGCTGACCTTTGCATGGGTGATGAAAGACATGGGGTGGAACTCCGAGCACTTGGCGTGGTTCCACTACCCGTCCTTCCGGGAGCTCTGGCAGGCGGCGGCCTTGCAAACGGCCGAGGCCTTCACGGTCCAACGCAGTGCGGGCAGCACCTTGTACCAGCGCGGCGGCAAGGAGTGCATGCAGTTCAACTTCTATGCGCTGCAGCACGCCATGTGCGGAGAGCATTTTCACACGGACGCCCCACTCCCCGTGTACTCGTACGCGAAACGCCTGGAGCACGTCTGGGACGGGATCGGATCGTGGCGAGCGTAGTGAACCGCGCCTAGAGTATAGCTCGGCTAACAGACCAGAGCAGCGACGGCTGCCGTGAGAAAGCAGGCAAAAAGTGCACAGACCCCGATGCTTCAAGCAGTGAACATACCTACGGAGCGCCAGAGCCAAGTTCGGATTCGACGTCGGCCCGAGCCAAACAGAGATTCGACTAGCGTAAGCCGCCCGGACCCAGGACGACCACCACCGGCGACCTGGCATAGTCCAGCAAGCCTGCAGCTGCCATGTCGTACAGGAAAGACCACAAAGATGTGGAGCAGAGCACCGAAGACACCGAGGCGCGGACACGATTCATCCCGTTATCCATGTCTACATGGAACAGCATGCCTGTCTGCCAGGCAACGGATGCCTGCCAGAAAGTACGAGAAGTCCTAGGTGCACATCTCTTCCGACCATGGTGCAGCGCCAATGTGAGCAACTGGACCTATGCGGACGTTCCCAGCGCCTCGGAGATCGCGCCGGAGCAAAACCAGTGCCCATCGGAGGAAACCGTGCGTCAACTGCTGCCCGGCATATCCGAAGTGGACAAGACACCGGAAGGCTTCGACTACTGCATCTACCGACTGCTGTGGCCGAGACGAGACTTAGCAGCACACACCGATCTGACCCGTCTCGTGACAATTTTCAAAAGCGTGATGGCAGAAGGAGGCCAGCGCAAAGCGTGCCTGTACATCGACCTACTGTACAGCACCGGGGCCAGTAGTGCGGACCAGCCAGAGGGGTCCGACCCCGCTATAGGACGACTACGGTACCGGGAGCGTCTCTGGACGGCCAGTCAGATCGCAGACATTATCCTAAAGACCATCTAGTTAGCGGCGTCAGCGTTCCATAGGGCACAGCAGCTTCACCGACTTCGCAGGAGCAAAACCGAGCGACCACCGCACCACACGAGCATCAGTCATGTAGCATGCACACTCTTCTGGCAGCTGTGGGCTCGAACCGGACACTTCGAAGTATACTAGAAGACCTCCCATTACCGGACCCAAGTACAGGCGGAAAGCAGCCATGTCGTTGCGCGACGTTCTTGCCAGCTCCAAAGAGAACGAGGACCCCAACGAAAGCCAGGCACGATCGAGCGCGGTGCTGTAGTTTTGCCTCCACGAGCAACCATGAATCCGTGCGATGCCCCGTCCTGTGCACCCGACAGGCCGTACGCTCTTTCCGATATCTGCAAGAGTTCCTGTCCGTGCACATGTTCCAGGCCTGGTGCGACGCCTATGTGGAGAATGCAACTTACTCAGACCTCTGCGAAGATCCGGATGTGGATCCCATAGAAACCGAGATGCCTACGGAAGCTATCATGCACCGGATCATCAGCGATAACGTCCCAGCAGAACATATGCGCAGAGCCTTCGAGTACAACTTCTTCGAGCTGCTCTGGCCCAAGCGGAACATCTCGTCGCTGGACGACATGACACGCCATGTCCTGACATTGGCAGCTCTGCTGGCTGAAGGCGGTCCCAACGCCGTGCGCCTGCACATCGATTTGGTGTATCGCACCCTACCGGGCGGCCCAGAATATCCCAACGAGCGCAGCCCCGTGGCAGCCCTGCGATATAGGAATCGCCTTTGGGCAGCCAGTGAGATCGCCAAGATCCTTCTGGAGAGCGTCTGAGACCATGTTGCCGGTTGTCCAGGGCACCGCGGCCTCACCCGATGCAGAAACAGACCGCAGCAAAAAAACTGGCACATGCATCGAGCAACACAGCTGGGCGATGTCGGAACTGCTGGCCATGATACTCGTTCGCCAATCCCCCTGCAGCCACTTCGGCTGCATGCGACACCGGACACTGATCCCTCCGCCTACGGTATGGCCTGCCCGACCAGTTTACTCGCCCTCAGTGTGTAAAGAGTTCGATGTTACCATGTCTCCAGGTCGCCACGACAGCCACGAGGCCACACTCTAGAGTAGCCCGTCGTGGCCAGCATAGACAACTCCGCACCAGTCCAGCTGCGTCCTGCCTGGACCTGAATGGGGCTGGAAGACTCGTGCAGCAATGGATTCTGTTGTCCTCAGCTTCCATGGAGTGCCAGGCTTTTATCCTCGACTCGAACGTCTGGAAGGCCCGCCACCGCTGCGCGTTCGTCCGCCACCTCCATGGGCTGCCAGGTCCCGATCCGCAACCCGCATGAAGTCAGAAGGCCCGCAGGCCAGCCGGAGCACCAGAACCGATACTCGGCCTGAACAGGCTTTCGTTCGCAAGACCTACGAGGCCAAACACTTCACGGCAGTTAATCCCAACCATGTTTTCGGTCTCGAGCTGTTGCGCCTGTCTCCCGTCGTGCTCGTCAGCCATGACTCCAAGTGTACACGTGCACGCACACATGCACACACACACACACACACCACGCACAGCAACGAATTAAGACCAAGCAGCTACTATGTACCTGCACCGGCCGGGAGCACGCCGAGCGTAAACCATGGCACCCTGCATTGGCTGCGGGTTTCCGCGAGTCGGCCGCGGAAGAGGCAGGCGCTCCATATCGTAAAAGAGTTGCTTGCCTGGCTGCATACGATCGAGCTGCTGCGCCAGGCTTCTGCACCAGGTTCGAATGCCGTCAAGCAGAGGAGCTGGAGAAAGAAAGGCAGAAAGAAGAAGCACGCGCCAGAAGGGCTGCCGCCAAAGCCGGCCACCGTGGGCCATTACCGCGTGCCGGAGGACGGCCCGAAGAAGAGAACAGCTGCAGAGCACAGCGAGCAGAACTACAGTGGCAGCGAGCCGGAGTGGGAGGCGGCACGCGAGGACCTCTGCCAGGAGAAGGTGCTGGAAGACGACCCGAAGAGGAGAACAGCTGCAGAGCGCAGCGAGCAAAACTGCAGTGGCAGCGCGCCGAAGTGGGAGGCGGCACCCGAGGACCTCTGCCAGGAGAAGGTGCTGGAGGACGACCCGAAGAAGAGAACAACCGCAGAGCACAGCGAGCAGAACTGCAGCGGCAGCGCGCCGAAGTGGGAGGCGGCACCAGAGGACATCTGCCAGGAGAAGGTGTCGGAGGACGACCCGAAGAAGAGAACAGCTGCAGAGCACAACGAGCAGAACTGCAGTGGCAGCGTGCCGAATCGGGAGACGGCACCCGAGGACCTCTGCGAGGTGAAGGTGCTGGAGGACGGCCCGAAGAGGAGAACAGCCGCAGAGCACAGCGAGCAGAACTGCAGTGGCAGCGCTCCGAAGTGGGAGGCGGCACCCGAGGACCTCTGCCAGGAGAAGGTGCTGGAGGACGACCCGAAGAGGAGAACAGCTACAGAGCACAGCGAGCAGAACTGCAGTGGCAGCGCGCCGAAGTGGGAGGCCGCACCCGAGGACCTCTGCCAGGAGAAGGTGCTGGAGGGCGGCCCGAACAACGAGGCGGGCACGGACCACCGTACCCCAACGAAGACAAACTGGCAGAGACCGACGTACAGAAGATGTACGAAGATTTCGTGAGAGGTTGGACGCGTTTCGGGTTGTCTCGAGTGTGCCAGTCGTGCAGAACCTTAACGCCGGCAAAACAATGCCGACCATCGGGCCCGGGTCGCACACTGACCTGCAGAAACTGCCTCGAGAGCAAGAACAAAATCCGCCTACCAGCCTTGCCCTCAATTCCGGCAACACTACGAGACTTGAAGCCGATCGAGCATCACCTGCTCGCGATGGCGCGCATATCCCAAGTCGTCCTGGACAGGCTGCCTTCGGGAGGACCCAGTGGCCAATGGGGCAGAATGTATGCCGTCTTGATGCAGGAGCCGTGTATTTGCGATGTGCTGGAGGGCGCTGTCTTGGAGGAAGACGGCACAGTGAGTGTGCAGGGCGTGGACGGCCTCACAGCGTCTTCGGCCCGGTTGGAGCACTTGCGCAGCGCACTCCAGGAACTACAGGCACAGCACATACTGTATCGACACAATCCCGCCGTGCAGGAGGTCATTAACAAGATGGAGTCGATCCTGCAACAAAGGTCGTCAGAGGGGACAGCAGAGCGTATCGTAGAGAATAAAGAGTCGCGGCAGGCGGAAGAAGAGGATGACGGACAGCAGTTCACCTACCTCGTGCCGAAGGATCCCAAAGTCCCCAGAGCTGACCTGAACGAGTTACGGCAGACCAGAGGCAGCGCCCAACTGGCCGACGACATCGACGTCAAGTTCTTCCCACATCTATTTCCAGACGGAACGAATGGTTGGAAGGACGCGTACAAGAGCTTCTCGCAGTATGCCCGAAAGCGACTGCTGGGACAAGATGGCCGCTTCGAACAATCCGCATCTTACATCATGTGGCTTCTGGAGACACAGCTGAAGAAGCGGTTGTCCGGTAATGTGAATGTCCGTGTGGGCTCGCAACAGAAGCCCGCGGGCTGCCAGGGCTACCAAGACGGGAGCCGACGCGTCTACACGGCCTTGCGCGACATCCCCGGCACGCAGCCCTACATCTACGCCAAGAAGGGCATCGCACTCAACATGTACGAGCAACTCGGACAACCACAGTTCTTCCTCACCCTCACGTGCCACGCTCGCCAGCCGGGCATCCTGGCCGCCGTCATCACTGCGAGATTGCTCCGCATGAATCCCGATCTCGAGCCCGCCGAGTCACTCGCTGCAACGATGGAAGCCAGGGCAGGACACCCATACAGCTCCCCAGTTAGTTAGCACGCCTTCGATGACTAAGCCTACCACCCACACGGCCCGACAAATGTACCAACATAGAGAAATGACCCGGGCCGAAGCACCGCCTCAGGCTTCGACGCCAGACCGCAGAAATCCTCCGGAACTACCAGCGCGAGGACTTTACATGGAACGGCTTCACCGCCAACCAGCTCTGCAACCAGCATCCAGCAGTGGTAGCCCGCCAATTCATGCACCAACTGCGGCAATTCCTACGATGGCTAGCCCCAGACATTGACGTAGGCAGCAAAGTGGATGCCGAAGCGGACCCGGACGACCACCGACAGTCCGCCGAGGACGAGGACGACACAAGCACAGCTGCGCCAGCAGCTGATGCTGCCGGCCAACATTA